TAATATAAGTTTAACACGACAGCAAATGTACAACATTTCAACAAGGTTTTGTACATTGGTTTGGTACCTGATGATTACAAAACCTTGTTGAAACGTTGTACATTTGCTGTCGTGTTAAACTTATATTAAAGTTTTTCTTCTTTACCCATTCAAGCCATCTCCAACCATTAAATTTAAGCACTAATCAGACTTATGGATCAAATTAAAAGACAAACTGTAATTAAGGTAAAGCAACAGAAAACCATTTGACCCATATAGCCACCTCTCTTCCTCAAAGACCAACAATTAAAACATTAAATCCAAATTTAAAGTATCCTAACCATCAACAAATTATGTTCTTTATGAACATTTCTTTTATAAGTAATCTCCAGATCATTCCAGGAAGTCTATTGAGTGTTATGAGTTAATTAAGGTTTCTCTGTTTGTTGGGTATTTTATCTTGACATTCTTTAATATCGTGCATAGTTTTGTTTTTTTTTCAAATTGTTACTCTCACCCTTTAATTAAATGGGCTTCTGCATAAAAATTAACTCATTTTGTTATAGAAACAGAGAAATATGGTAGAATTAGTTTGATTGTATACGTATAAAAAAAATCATACAAGATATTCTATGCCGTTCATCTTTAAATTTCTCTGAAAGTTGCAAGCTAGTTTGCTAGGCAATTTTAAGAATTATTGAGTTCTGGGCAAAGAGGGTTTTGGTTTCCCCTGTTCCTTCATTATGCATATCCATATTTACAACCCATATATATTAAGTATTTTAGGAGAGTACAGTAATATCTACTATTTGCATATCTCAAAGTATAGTGGAGTCTGTTATGCATTCAATAAGATTCTTATAAAACAAAAATTAAGATTTTTAAGAAAATATGCCAGTATTGAACTTATCATTATTTTTTTGTATAATTATAATAGAGTTTTGGGTGAGTCTGGGTGCCTGTAGGTCAGCATTTTATAACCAGCTGTAGCTGATATGGCTTACATGTCATTCTGTGGTTATATCAATGGTTACATAATATAGCTGTTAGTAATACCTTGTCTAGTAGTTTCATAATATGTTGGTGCAGTTATATTGTGTAGCAAGTATTTTAAGCAGAAAGTTGGTTATTGTTAAGACTCATAGTGAACTCATTAGTTGAAAAAGTTTTCATTGGTCACATTATAGCATTTGTTCTGCATTGTTAAGTTAGTATATGGATACATGACTGATATAAGTCACTAAGGTGTCTAACTTTGTGAAATATAATTAACTAATGGCAAGGGTTACTGATGAAACAATGTATTCTTATCTCTCTCTAAATAAAAATGTAAGAACAGTATAGTTAATTAGCTATACTCATTACCAGTTTGATCTTTAGGTGAATTTCAGTAAACTTGCATTAACATTTGGAAGTTGGTTCAATATCAATAAAATCTGTAGTCTTGCTTGTGTAGAACTAGATGTATCTTAGCTATTTAGTACTAAGTTTTTAAAATATTCGGGCTTTACCTTTGATATAAATGGGGTAACGTTAATTGATGTATAGTATAGATTGGTATATATTAAAAAATTAAAGCTAGATTAAGAAATAAATGTGTGAATTATTACAATAAATAAACATAGGTGTCTCCAGGTGGCAGCAGGTGCAATACTTTGAAAACATATTGGAATTTGGAATGTTGCCCAGTGAACAGTAAAAAATAAAAATAGCTCAACATAAGGTTCAGATATACATCTGTGTTTTAGAGGTTAGTTATTTTTACGCTTGCTTTTCTAACAAAACACATCACTCTTTGACATTTTATGTGCAGAGGTTTGTGAGTTCTTAAATTTATTTGTTATATTTATTTCATCAGGCTGTAGTTCATGATCGACAACTATTAAATTCAGGTCATTGAGTGGAAACTCAGTAAGAAGTAAAAGTTTAAAGAATCCTGTTTGTTTTTTTTAACACAAAGAATTTGTTTGGTTTTTGAGACATTTTCTATCAAACAAGTTAATATGATTTTAAGGTTTTATGGATACTGCTAAAGAAACCCTAAAAACATTTGAGAAGGCAACTCAAAACTGGATTAAGAAGGTTTCGAGATATAAATTTTGTCTGCTGGAATTCGTTTACGAAGGACAAGAGTATATGGGAAATTTTCAAAGCCAGTCGAGAACTTTATAACGCCAAGATTCTGTACTGCTCACGTTGATTTGGAAAATTGAGTTAATTTTAAAATCTTTGAAAAGCAAGTTCTTCTTTTGAAGGTTAGTAAGTAGCTAAAGAATTGGTACGTGTTTCTAGTAAAATATAATAAGAGTGGTATATACATATATCAAAGTTATTCTAAGTATGTTATAGTTATAATGGGTGAAATTTCTATACAGATATTAAGGGTTTTTTTTTTACTTTAAATTAAATTTTTCTTCTCTCTGTGAGCATAAAACTAGATATATTTATATACTCTGTATGAACATAATACTAGGGGTGTGCGTTGATGGCTAAAACTCGTACAAGATTTTGGTTCGTGTATTTAAGCTTCTCCTCCTTTCTCTCTGAACAAAGTAGGTTTTGTAGAATATTTTTTCATTTGAAATGTTAACAAAAAAACAAGAAAATATATGAACTCTTGTTATGGTATGAATTTCTTTTCCAAGTTGGGGAAGCATAATTATAATGATCCTTTGCTAGCTTAGAAAAGGCATTCAAACTATAGCAGGTGTTGTTGTAACAAGTGGCTTATATGAATACCGTTCTAGCCATTACTCTGTTTGTTGTGTCCCAGCTGGTCTGTTGAGTTCTGTATTGAGTGAAATGCATCGGTAATAGATATTGCAGACATGGTTTGCTACTATAGCGTGCAGTCTACACAGATACTATCATCATCATCACCGTTTTTATGATTCACTAAAACATAGTTTCTTACTTAATAATTTAATAAGTTGTGTGTTCCAAAAAAGTACCTTAAATTTAGGTTATATCTGTGTTAGTTTTGATTGTTTGAATTTATTTTATTTTGATTATGTTTGCCCTAAAAACGTTATGTAATGATATTTTGTACTTGATTAATTTAAAAACATTATTTATAATAAATGGTGACAATTGCAAATAAACAAAAGTTAAAATGGTGATGATGATGATGACAGTATCTGTGTAGACCGTACACTATAGTGTAAATATCTTTGTAGATCGCACGTTATAGTGTAAATATCTTTGTAAACTGCACATTATAGTGTAAATATCTTTGTAGACTGCACATTATAGTGTAAATATCTTTGTAAACTGCACGTTATAGTGTAAATATCTTTGTAGACTGCACATTATATTGTAAATATCTTTGTAGACTGCACGTTATAGTGTAAATATCTTTGTAGACTGCATGCTATAGTGTAAATATCTTTGTAGACTGCACATTATATTGTAAATATCTTTGTAGACTGCACCTTATATTGTAAATATCTTTGTAGACTGCACGTTATAGTGTAAATATCTTTGTAGACTGCACATTATAGTGTAAATGTCTGTGGACTGCACATTATATTGTAAATATCTTTGTAGACTGCACATTATATTGTAAATATCTTTGTAGACTGCACATTATATTGTAAATATCTTTGTAGATCGCAC